TCTGGAGACCCACCGGGAGAGCTGCTGTGCACTGTCTCGTGGTCCCTAGGGATGAGTGTTGACTTGCCGGCTGGTTGGGTTGATCATCATTCAGCATCTTCATTAATATCTCACATCGGCTGGACATAAGCTACTGGGGGCCTGAATGAATTACTAACCTTTTCAAAGAGATAGATAGATAGATAGATAGATAGATAGATAGATAGATAGATAGATAGATAGATAGATAGATAGAATGTCTGAAGCTTATCCAGATACCTGAGAGCCAAGCACCCATCACTGCCTCTCTCACCTGTGCCTCTTACCCTCATTTCCCCTCCCCGACAGGCATTCCTCCACTCCGCTCTGCAGCAAGTGCACCTTCTGTGCCCCTGGCCACCCATGGCCAGCTGATGGGCAGGTCCCAGGCCATCAAAGTGGGCACTTCATGGAAGCAGGTGGACCAGTTCCTCGGGGTACCGTACGCTGCCCCACCCCTGGCAGAAGACCGCTTCCAGGCCCCCAGGCCCTTGAACTGGACCGGTTCCTGGGATGCCACCCAGCCCCGGTAAGGGGTCAGCGAGGCCCTTGGTGGCCAGGACTGTTCAGAGGGAGGCTTCAGAGCATAGCAGTGTCTTCTGGGTGGAGTGGCATCTGAGGAGAGGAGGGAGGGGTTGGAGGAAGGGGGTGTTACAGAGCACCATATGCCCCACCAGCTAGATGCTAAGAGCCTGTGACTTACTTGCTGTGAACTCTGTGAGGACAGGGGGACCCGTGTGGGACTCAGGGACCCCAGATGAGCTCTACACAAGCCTTTCAGTGTCCCCTGAGGGGCAGCATCAAGGGAAGACTGGGATAGGCCACATAGGGTGTTTGCGGAGGCCAAGCCTGAAGGAGGGGGCACTCGCCATCTAGGTCAGGCACCGCACCTGACTTGATGGCAGTGACCTTGGCTTGAGAGATTTATTTATATAAAAAAAACAACAAACATTAAAAAAAACATTCCTCTCTCAATAAACCCCATGGCCATCAAGTTGATGCTGAGCCCTAACAGCCCTACCAGATAGAGAACTGCCCTGCAGGTTTCTGAGGCTGCAACTCTTCATGCAGCCAAGTCTCCCTTCTCCTGCGGAGCAGTTGCTGGGTTCGAACCACTGACCTCTGGGTTAGCAGTCTAGTGCTTAAGTACTGGGCCACCAGGACTCATTTTCTCATTGTTTGAAACCCTGATGAAGGAGTTTCTTCAAAAGAAGGAAAAGACAGAAAAACGAATCCAGTTTTCCTATCCCCACCCCCCACCCCCCATCACTACCCATCCCCAGTTTTGTCCATTTCTGCACAGGCACACAGGCACGCACTGCCAAGGGCCGGCATTGGAGGGAAACGTTTGCATTTTTCTGCCGCAGCATATTCAGACTGCCTGAGATCCTCGGCAAGGGCCCCGCCACCCTGTCCTGAGGCCATGTGTCACAAGCCAGCTGCTGGGTAGGCCCAGGCCCCCGGCCAGATACACGAAGAGCTAGGAGGCTCATGAAGTCCCCACGCAAGGGGTGGTGATGGCTGCCAAGCTCCTGAGTGGCACCATTGTCCCCTTTCTTTCTTGGGCCATTGAGTCAGCAGCCTGGTCTTGGGTTGGCAGCTTCTCACTGGGTATTCTCATGCATGCGGGCCGTGGCCCCAGTGGTACATGGGGACTCTCTGTGGGGCAGTATCTCCTGAGTCAGATGGTCTGTACCTGCAGGGCCAGCTGCTGGCAGCCCGGAGCCAAGACACCCACGCCTCTTGGAGTCAGCGAGGACTGCTTGTATCTCAACGTGTTTGTCCCCGAGGGTGCGGTGAGTACCGAGCCTTTATCCCTGAGGGTTCAGGGTGAGTACTGAGCCCTCATATCTGAAGGCAAAGTGAGTACTGAGCCCTCATCCTTGAGGGTGAAGTGAGTACTGAGCCCTCGTCCCTGAGGGTGAAGTGA